GATTGGGTTTTTTTGGGTTTTTTTGGGTTACACCCCCCCCTTGATAAATACGCTAACAAATTAAGAAGATTTGAGTTTCAAAAGGATAGCAATTTTTATTGCAACCATGCAATAGAAATTGCATGGTATAATGTGCCAGCATTTTACAGTGTCTGCTCATTGAAAGGTCTGAAAGTTTATTGTATAAATAATGAAAAGAGGGTAATTATGTAGTCTAGGATCATAATAAATAATCCATTAAATGACAATGAACATCATACGGTATTCAATGCTAATAATTAGTGATTAGGTATAAATGGCTCAAGTTATTGTAATGAACAATACTCGTACCCAAGATAAAATAAACCTGGCCTCTTTAGCCAAGGATTGGGGTAAGGGAATTATAATTGAAGCCAGACGAAGTCTGACCATGTATTAAGACTCGGGGTTTTATTCCAGGTCATCGACGAAATTCATTACTTTTGCGGTCTATATTTCATTTTATAGAGCTTGTTAGCTCTTGACAGTTCATCTCCTTAGGAGTTAAACAGCAAAGTTTTAGTCATTAGTGGCTTCAGGGCTTCACAGACAGATTCAGTACTCTAATTCCACTGGTCAGGGTTCAACTTAGTTCTCGTTAACGTGAACCACCAGTTAAAGTTTAGTGAGTATACTAAAAATATAAAACTTAAAGTTTAGTGAGCATACTATAAATATAATACTAAAAGTTTAGTGAGCATACTATAAATATAATACTAAAAGTTTAGTGAGCAGTATTAAATTACCTTTTACCTGCAATGATCTAGCCGCGAGGTTACTGAAAATAGCACAATCTATCATTGAGTAAGTAAAGATGACGCCCATATTATAGTATGACCTATTACACCTGTATTATACTACTATTCCGACGGTATAGTGCCGGAATAGTGCCGGAATAGTGCCGGAATAGTGCCGGAACAGTGCCGGAACAATGTCGTACACACGCCCTGTTTCAGATCACTCGCTCAAATATACAGTAAATAGTAATACATATTAGTAACTCCTGCCACTGTATCATTCTTCGAACCAAGAAGATTTCCTCAATTCTGAGAAATATTCAGCACCAACATTCCGGAACATTCTCGAACTATCTAGACCTTTAAACCAAAACATTTTTGTTGCGTTCTAATTTTCATGTTTTAAATGTACATTTTATACTCAAGGGTATCACTTTCAAATAAACAGTTTCAACAAAATACCGGTACCAAAGTGGTTCACAGAAGCTTACTGTATAACATCTGGGTTCTGGAAAATTTAAATATTCTAGAAGTAACAACTAGAAACTTCGAAAACTTTATCTTAACGGCCAATATCAACGAACATAATCTTTTATCCAAATTGTTGAGTTTTTTTATCTCGATTAAATGAACTTAGTCACGTCTACTGCAACTGGTCAGGTGAAAAATATTTTAAAACATGTGATATCAATTCACCGACAACTTCTGACAGCGATCTATAAAATCTGCGAATCAATATCACGCGTAAAAACTCACCTCTATGCTGTACCACCCAACACGTCTAAATTTATCAACCGATTAATTATTCACAAATACTTAAATGTCAAAAATGAAGGGCCTGGTAGACGATTTGTTTTTATACATTACCTTGTAAATCTACACAATTAAGAATCAATAAATTGTAGCAAATCTATCACTAAGGTGGGCACTGATGAACATCATCTTGTGAAACTTATACTTTGCCATTTAACAGTTGTTCTCAAGTTGTTTTTTTGTATCTTAAAGCTCACTTTAATACCTTAAATGCTAAAGTTAGGGCACTGTGCATTCTGCATAACAGCCAGCCCCCGTAAACTTTTTAATCTCCAATCTTCGCGACAGTTCACCTTAACAAGTACGTGATAACGAGGCCTGTAATCAGACACTACAAACTGTATGGTTTAATCAACCGTACAATTATAACTCTTCTCATTTGTTTATTACTCAGGAGGAGATTTAGAATTTCACATTAGATCACTGTTTTTTTACATGGTACAAAGTTGACAGTGGACCTGCTGATGAAATACAATATATAAATTCAGATTTGCTGCGGAAGAAGCCGTACATGTGATGTGGTGTATTTAACGACAGTTAGGGCTGCGAGATGTGGTGAAGATATCTGACAATTTGTCTGGCAAGTTGTTATTTACACTGTCCGTCAACTGCAGATCAACGAGATCAGTTCTTTTGGTTTAATTCATTAGCATCTGTTCATTGATAGTGGGGTGGGAAGAATTTTAAGGTTTCGATATAAATAATCATAACATTTCAAAAATCTGGAAATCGTAAACATTAATGGACGAAAGTTTTTAAAAAATATGTCTCTTGTACTGGACCCCACCCAACCTCTAACCTTGTGACAAGCGTTACATTTAGTGACAATATATGTGTCATAAAGTGACAGGTGTGTCGTAGTGTGACAAGGTGGCGGGTATATTAAAACAACCTATTCATCCATGTACAAATCGAGTCAGGACCCACCAGGGGACCAATGTAATTCTATCTGGAGAGTCTAGACACTAAGTGTGGGATATCTCCAAGAGGTCCCCTGTAGAAACGTTTGGCGTGTACGGCCGTGCAAGTGAACGTGTCACGTGTAATTGTCATGGGAACATTGTGGAAGGTTTGGCATGTTGGAATACATCGTGTATTGACATGTGTTTAATTGCTGGAATGTCTGAAAACACCACCTTGTTTACAGAATAGTGTTTGTAGTTGTATGATTACATTTTCAGAACATTGAGTCGCCTCCCCAGTCCTAATTTAGTCAGAAAATTTCTCTACATAACTTGCTATGTAAGTATTACACGGTACATTTCTCTACATAACTTGCTATGTAAGTATTACACGGTACAATTCTCTTCATAACTTGCTATGTAAGTATTACACGGTACAATTCTCTACATAACTTGCTATGTAAGTATTACACGGTACAATTCTCTACATAACTTGTATTGTAAGTATTACACGGTACGTTCTCGAGTGTGTGAATCTCTGACGAAGTGGTTTTAAAGTTCTTGTTGTTATGTGACTGTTGCGAGACTAATTATAGTAATTATATTAATAACTAATTGAAGTAAAATCAAAGCAGTTGGAATCAGAAGGCAAAAGAAGGCTTGAAGCTATTATATCAGAAGTGGTATTATTTGTTGTGAGAACAAGATTTTAGAGTGAATTAAATTATTTGCGACATTGTCATATTCATTTTCATGCTAGTTTTTTTCGCTCACCCTTTAGAGCCGCTCTGACATGGTTAGTAGCTAGATATTGTGCCTGCTGCTATTCATATGGGCGGGAAATAAGCACATTATTTCATGACTAGTAACTAATACCGTACATTAAATATCCACGAATTAAAACATCACATTTAATCCTTTTATGCACTATGCAGTATGAGAATGTTAGTTTGTTTTTTAAATGTCACGTTTCATGTAGCTAGGTGATGTCAAGCTCCAACCCTTGGATTTAATAAGTACTGACTACTACTGGTCTGACACTTGTCGCTCCTCGCAATCTATGTTTTGTCCATATTTGGAGATTATTATCCTTCTAACTACTGCACTGCTCTTGATCAAATGAAAATCTGAATATATTATGTTGAAATTGTCCTTATTCAATATCAGCAAATCAGCTTTTAGCTCATCAGCGTAGGGGTATGTGTCACAAAGGAAAGAGTGATTACAAAACTTCGAGGTCACATTAATTCATTTCGTCCCTTAGTGATCCATCACTTCATCATGATGGGTAATAGAACCTAACTGTGCAGTGTGCATGCGATCTTGTGTTAATCGTACATTTGTTCAATACACCCTCTGTCCGACACAAACCGTTATCGGTGATGTCCATTGTCCACAAGAGTAAACAGCATTTACAATCCTTGATTTACATGTTCTTGTTGCTAGGTATTGTGCAGGATGTACACTTATGGCTCAGGTTCACAAGGTAAAAATAGAAACTTGCACTTGAACTCTTAGTATAGACCATGTCATTATTCTATATCATTTGCAAAAGACTAGCAGTAAGAGTTATGAGGCTGGGTAAGCGAACTGAATTCCTAACAATCACTACTGGTAAGGGTTCTCTCTGTGAAAAGGGGAGCCTTTTTACACATTTAACTACACATTAATAAGATCAACGGATTATCTTGAGGACCTGAGCCTGGGGTCTGGAAACTTCTTTAATTTCTGATTTAAGAAAATAATAAGATATATTTAAGATATATTCTCCCGAAAATATTATTCATAATCAGTGAAAAAAGCATCATGCTCATCACATGAATTTTGGAGTAGAAACCCCAAGAGAAACTATAATTTGTATACTAAAAATGCGAAAAGTTGATGTTAAACTAGAAAATAGAACGAGGCGCTGGTTCGTTTAATAAAACGGTATATAATAACATAGATACTGATTCCATGCATCTCTTCTTTGTGCAAATGTAAGAGGCCAAAATACTAGGAGTTCATCCGTTAACTGACAACTTCTTTATATATTAGCAAGAATGTTTCTATTTTTAGTGACTTTGTTTGCTGATTATTTCCTATCATATATAAATTATAGCTATCTTAACCAATAACCATTCTAACAATGATCACGTGAATAATAAACCTTCTTAAATCTATTACAGTACTGCAGTACATAATATGGGGCGGATGCCGTGAAATACAATTTATTGAACTGAAGAAGTACAGAGCTATTATATCCTATAGTTGACGGCTGGGCACTATAGCTGTATAGGTAGTGTTCTGTTACATCTCCCAGTCGCAAGCCTGGGACCACTACTAGCATAGTCACAACATCTATAAAGCTGCCATATAGCCTGACTGACAATTTTCTCGACTGACTGACAATGTTTCTTCTTTTCCCCATTTAGAATACAAAGATTAGTACATTTTAGCTTATGATTAATATTATATTTTTACCTATAGTTTACCTAGATTACACAATTTCAAAACTCTAAACTCCAACCTTATATTATATATATATCAGGTGCCAAGATCAGGAAAAGACTTCAAATTATACGACACAGTGTTGCCCAGTGCAGAGCTTCAGTTGGGAGGTCTTTGTGGTGGTGTCTGGGGCTCCTGTTATATCTGCAACAAGAAACCCTTCATGAAGTGCCCTCAATGCTACATCAACCAGGTTCGCTATCTTATTAATTAGTAATTAATTTATTAGTAAATTGGCACTCAATCTAGAATCCCAGTTATGAATTGACAGTTGAAGCAGCAAACCTTATTCTATATAGTCTTTATAACAGGAGTTTAAACACAAGTACAGCGCAGTGCCGTATTGTGAGCCGTGTTGCACTTTAGTGCATTCTCATCCGGACAGGCAGAGTCACGTACCGGAGAGTGCAACTAACCCCACACGTATGTTTAATAACGATCAATATTTTGTTTGTTATTGATTAATGGGGGGGGGGGGGGGGGGGGGGGGGGTTGACATGTCTCCAATGTCTCCCGCACCTTATCTTTTCGAAAAAGACAAAGACATTGGAGACATTGGAGACATTGGAGACACAGCTTTTGGAGACATTGGAGACATTGGGGACATTGGGGACATTGGGGACACTGGGGACATTAGAGACACAGCTTTTGGAGACATTGGAGACATTTGGGACATTGGGGACATTGGAGACATTAGGGACATAAAATGGATATTAGGGGCATTGGAGACATTGGAGACACAGCTTTTGGAGCCTCCTCCTCCTCCTCCTCCTCCTCCTCCTCCTCCTCCTCCTCCTCCTCCTCCTCCTCCTCCTCCTCCTCCTCCTCCTCCTCCTCCTCCTCCTCCTCCTCCTTCTCCTCCTCCTCCTCAGTCCTCCTCAGTCGTTCTCCTCCTCGTCCTGAGTCCTCCTCCTGGGTCCTCCTCCTGGGTCCTCCTCCTCCTGGGTCCTCCTCCTCCTCTTCATCCTCCTCCTCTTCCTCCTCAATCATCAGTCCTCCTGATCCTCCTCAGTCCTCCTCCTAATCCTTCTCGTCAGTCCTCCTCCTCCTCCTCAGTCCTCCCCAAGTCCCCCTCCTCCTCAGTCCTCCCCCAGTCCCCCTCCTCCTCCTATTCAGTCCTCCTCCTCCTCAGTTCTCCTCAGCTCAGTCCTCCTCCTTCTCAGTTCTCCTCCTGAGTCCTCTTCCTGAGTCCTCCTCCTGAGTCCTCCTCCTCTTCCTGAGTCCTCCTCCTCCTAGGTCCTTCTCCTCCTCCTCCTCCTCCTCCTCAGTCCTTTTCCTCCTCCTCCTCATCCTCCTTCTTAGTCATCCTCCTCAGTCATCCTCCTCAGTTATCCTCCTCAGCCATCCTCCTCAGCCATCCTCCTCAGCCATCCTCCTCAGCCATCCTCCTCAGCCATCCTCCTCAGCCATCCTCCTCAACCATCCTCCTCAGTACTCCTCAGTCCTCCTCCTCAGTCCTCATCCTTCTCCTTAGTCCCCCTCCTCCTCCTATTCACTCCTCCTCCTCCTCAGAGTCCTCCTCCTGAGTCCTCCTCCTGAGTCCTCCTCCTGAGTCCTCCGCCTGAGTCCTCCTCCTGGGTCCTCCTCCTCCTAGGTCCTCCTCCTTCTCCTCCTCACTCCTCAGTCCTTCTCCTCCTCCTCCTCAGCCATCCTCCTCAGTCCTCCTCCTCCTCAGTCCTCATCATCATCCTCCTCTTCAGTCCTCCTCCTACTGGGTCCTCTTCCTCCTCTTCCTCCTCAGTCCTCAGTCCTCCTCCTCATCCTTCTCGTCAGTCCTCCTCCTCCTCAGTCCTCCCCAGTCCCCCTCCTCCTCCTCCTATTCAGTCCTCCTCCTCCTCCTCCTCCTCAGTTCTCCTCAGTCCTCCTCCTTCTCATTCCTCCTAAGTTCTCCTCCTGAGTCCTCCTCCTGGGTCATCCTCCTCCTAGTTCCTCCACCTTCTCCTTCTCCTCCTCAGTCCTTCTCCTCCTCCTCCTCCTCCTCCTCCTCAGTACTTCTCCTCAGTACTCCTCAGTCCTCCTCCTTCTCAGTCCTCCTCAGTCCTCTTCCTGAGTTCTCCTCCTCCTCCTCCTCCTGAGTCCTCCTTCTGGGTCCTCCTCCTCCTAGGTCCTCCTCCTTTTCCTCCTTAGTCCTACTCCTCCTCCTCAGTCCTCTTCCTCCTCCTCCTCCTCCTCTTCCTCCCTCTCAGTCATCCTCCTCAGCCATCCTCCTCAGTCCTCCTCAGTCCTCATCCTCCTCCTCAGTCCTCCTCCTGGGTCTTCCTCCTCTTCATCCTCCTCAGTCCTCAGTCCTCCTCCTCAGTCCTCCTCCTCATCCTTCTCGTCAGTCTTCTGCATCCTCAGTCCTCCCCCAGTCCCCCTCCTCCTCCTCCTATTCAGTCCTCCTCCTCCTCAGTTCTCCTCAGTCCTCTTCCATTTCAGTCCTCCTGAGTCCTCCTCCTTCTCTTCCTCCTGAGTCCTCCTCCTGGGTCCTCGTCCTCCTAGGTCCTCCTCCTTCTCCTTCTCCTCAGTCCTTCTCCTCCTCCTCCCTCTCAGTCATCCTCCTCAGTCATCCTCCTCAGCTATCCTCCTCAGTACTCCTCAGTCCTCCTCTTTCTCTGTCCTCCTCAGTCCTCTTCCTGAGTCCTCCTCCTGAGTCCTCCTCCTCCTCCTGAGTCCTCCTCCTCCTCCTGAGTCCTCCTCCTGGGTCTTCCTCCTCCTGGGTCCACCTCCCCCTAGGTCATCCTCCTCAGCCATCCTCCTCAGCCATCCTCCTCAGTACTCCTCAGTCCTCCTCCTTCTCAGTCCTCCTCAGTCCTCCTTCTGAGTCCTCCTCCTGAGTCCTCATCCTCCTCCTTCACCTCCTGAGTCCTCATCCTGGGTCATCCTCCTCCTAGATCCTCCTCCTTCTCCAATCATACATCTACGTCTCCAGTGTCTCCAATGTCTCCAATGTCTCCAAAAGCTTTGTCTCCAATGTCTCCAATGTCTCCAAACGCTGTGTCTCCAATGTCTCCAATGTCTCCAGGACATGTCTCTGCACCCTATCTTTTCAAAAAAGACAAAAGACATTGGAGACATGTCACCCCCCCCCCATTAATTGATTGATCGAGTTCTTAGTGTATTTTTCCAATCACGATATTTAAACATGAACTCTCCAAGTTTCGTGAATTATGACAGTAAGAATGCTTGTTTAATATTTGTAACATCAAACTTCCTATTTCACCACCCAAAATATGTACATTTTAAAGTTAACATAGCTCATGTGCAGGTGGTATACGAATGGTGCTTTCTGCTGTGTTGTGTATACACACCAGTCATTACGTAACCTATTGTAGAGTTCCTGCACCTCCTCCTCTAGGTATACACCTCCTTCATTTATAATATAATTTATAATATACATTTTATATTACATTTACTTACATTGCAGTTTGCAATTATTTTTGGAATATGGAACAAAAACTAAAATTGGAGATGTGGCCTAGTTATTCTCGACTTCTCATACTTGTGTACTTTGGGCAGGAAACATACAATCATGCGGAGCTTGATATTACAACACTATATATGGAATCTATTTATATGACAAGATTGACTAAATAAAATGTAACTTCAGTTCCAGAAGAGATAGCTGGATCAAGTACGATCTCCCCATCTCCCCACAGCCCCTACTGCTGGGTCTTCTTCGACAGTATGGCTGACCGAGAGGGCGGTATGGGTGGGTACAACATTCCCCAAGTAGCGGAATGTCCCCAGCTCGAGGATTGGCTACAGAACCCTGCCAAGCTACTTCACGAAAAGGATAGGGCCCCTGACTTTGTTAAGAGATTAATATCTGATGCTCTCCTTTGTTTTTACATTAGGGAGAAAGACACATGATAAACTTAGGGTTTTGTAGAAATTATGACATGCAATGAAATCAGATATTTTACGTTCAGAGATCGGATTTGGACCATGTAGGTTTGGCATAGACGGACAAATTAGTTAAGTGGCTATTTTGCTTGTTCATTGGTTACGTTAATGTTTGTTTTTACGTTAATGTTCGTTTTATATCAGTGTTTTGGAGTACATATCAGTTTGTGCTAGACAGGTCACTCTAATTATCACGACATATGTGCGGTCATTTTATACTTCCTTTATGACTGAGTCGGCACGGTTTCCTATCAGTTTTTGGGTTTGTTTTCGCCCTATTAGCATAAAATTACTTTGAAGCAGCTTGTAAACTTTCTCTTCTGTTTTGCTGTAAATCTTTTTATAAAATCAGGTTATGTTCACTAAATTCTCATTATCCCATCATGTATATCTTTTACGCCAATTATTCGTAGAAAAATGTTCCAACTTTATACAGCTTAAAAAAGTCTCAACTTAAATGTTATTTTCCCGACGAGTGGGTCTGAATTATTCATTCTAGGCCCACAAGAAACTGTTAACAATGTTTATTAACGTTAACTAGGGTTTTTGAACATGATCCCCTATACCCTCCCCTGTTTGCGTCAAGTTAATGAACAGGATCTGCTAGGGGGGGGGGGGGGGGGGCCAATGACTACTTTTGGGGAATTGGGGAATTACGTCAACGATTTTACCCCGAGTCCCCATGATTTTTAGTCCCCATTAGTCCCCAAAAGTCTCCATTAGTCCCCATTTAGATGATTTTTAGTCCCCATTAGTCCCCAAAAGTCTCCATTAGTCCCCATTTAGATTTATCCTACTCTTATCTTGGACAAAACATCTCGATCGTATCGTTATTAAACTAACTTGAAAACCATAAATAACTGTCCAAAATTCTGGGGACTTATGGGGACAAATAGTGAATTACGTCAACGAGTTGACCTCTAGTCCCCATGATTTTTAGTCCCCATTAGTCCCCAAAAGTCTCCATTGGTAGTCATTGGCCCCCCCCCCCCCCCCCCCCCCCATCTGCTACCAAGATCTGAAACACGGTTGTGTCATTTTTGGTCCCAAATTTGCAGTATTTTGGTATTCTTGCCGTCATCTTTGGGAGAACATCTGTAAGACTATTAGTATCGCTGAGTTCATGAATCCGAGATTTTGGAACCAATTTGGAACCATGAGACAGAATTGAGACAAAAGTGAGACAATGCTTTTGTAGTCGTATTTATGCTTGTACTGACTTGGAATCTATCTGATATGGTAGAGGGACACGTGTACTAACATTTCCAGCCATTTAGAAGTACAAAATACCAGTTCTGGTACCAGCAGCACCAAACTTCCCAGGGACACTTCAGGTATCCATACCGATCGATTCCAATCGGTTTTAGCTCAATTCAGGGGATTCTAGGAAAATGTTCATTTTGTGTTCATTTCATTCATTCCATGAATCAGAGAATATTTCACAAGAGGCTGAAAATGTTAGTATAAATGTACTTCTATCATATCAGGGTAAATCCCACTCAGTTCACGGACATATACAGCCAACAAACATGTATCAGAAGTTTTCTCAAATCTCGAATTTATCTTCTGGTATCGCTGAGTTCATGAATCCGAGATTTTGGAAACATTTTGGAAACATGTGACAGAATTGTGACAGAATTGTGACCGATTTGGAAACATGCCCTTGTATCCGTAATTTTGCCTGGACTGACTTGGAATCGATCTGGCATGGTAGAGGGACATGTGTACTATCATTTCTAACCACTCAGAAGTGCGAAATATTGCCCTGGTTCATGGAATGAACGAAATGAACAAAAAATGAACATTATCCTAAAATCGCTTGAAATTAGCTGAAACCAATTGGGATTGATTGGTTATGATACCAGAAGTGTCCCTGAGAAGTTTGGTGGGTCTAGCATGTTAAGAAAGGGCTCTGGGGCAATGTTTCCATTTTGGTTTCAGAGTAGTTGAGATCGTGGAAACATTTGTGACCGATTTGGAAACATGCCCTTGTAGCTGTAATTCTGCCTGGGCTGACTTGAAATCGAGATGGCATGGTAGAGGGACATGTGTACTATTATTTCTAACCACTCAGAAGTGCGAAATATTGCCCTGGTTCATGGAATGAACGAAATGAACAAAAAATGAACATTATCCTAAAATCGCTTGAAATTAGCTGAAACCAATTGGGATTGATTGGTTATGATACCAGAAGTGTCCCTGAGAAGTTTGGTGGGTCTAGCATGTTAAGAAAGGGCTCTGGGGTAATGTTTCCATTTTGGTTTCAGAGTAGTTGAGATCGTGGAAACATTTGTGACCGATTTGGAAACATGCCCTTGTAGCCGTAATTCTGCCTGGACTGACTTGGAATCGATCTGGCATGGTAGAGGGACATGTGTACTATTATTTCTAACCACTCAGAAGTGCGAAATATTGCCCTGGTTCATGGAATGAATGAAATGAACAAAAAATGAACATTATCCTAGAATCGCCTGAAATGAGCTGAAACCGATTGGGATCGATTGGTAATGATACCAGAAGTGTCCCTGAGAAGTTTGGTGGGTCTAGCATGTTAAGAAAGGGCTCTGGGGTAATGTTTCCATTTTGGTTTCAGAGTAGTTGAGATCGTGGAAACATTTGTGACCGATTTGGAAACATGCCCTTGTAGCCGTAATTCTGCCTGGACTGACTTGGAATCGATCTGGCATGGTAGAGGGACATGTGTACTATTATTTCTAACCACTCAGAAGTGCGAAATATTGCCCTGGTTCATGGAATGAACGAAATGAACAAAAAATGAACATTATCCTAGAATCGCCTGAAATGAGCTGAAACCGATTGGGATCGATTGGTAATGATACCAGAAGTGTCCCTGAGAAGTTTGGTGGGTCTAGCATGTTAAGAAAGGGCTCTGGGGCAATGGTTCCATTTTGGTCTCAGAGTAGTTGAGATCGTGGAAACATTTGTGACCGATTTGGAAACATGCCCTTGTAGCCGTAATTCTGCCTGGACTGACTTGGAATCGATCTGGCATGGTAGAGGGACATGTGTACTATCATTTCTAACCACTCAGAAGTGCGAAATATTGCCCTGGTTCATGGAATGAACGAAATGAACAAAAAATGAACATTATCCTAGAATCGCCTGAAATGAGCTGAAACCGATTGGGATCGATTGGTAATGATACCAGAAGTGTCCCTGAGAAGTTTGGTGGGTCTAGCATGTTAAGAAAGGGCTCTGGGGCATTGTTTTTATTTTGGTGTCAGAGTAGTTGAACTCGTGGAAACATTTGTGTCCGATTTGGAAACATTAGGGACTATGGGTGGAAGATTTTGTTCCCTTCATTGTGCTGTTTCCGGGAAGCATTCTGTTTACACTCTCATCATTCTGTAGAATGAAATATCGTTCATTTAAAATTGGGTAATTATAGGCCTGTCAATGATTGCAGCCCAATTAAGAGCTGATCAATTGCAGCTCCTAGTGCCATATAAGAGATAACTGAGGTCACGTGACAGTCGGTCCTATCACGTGACCTTGATTCGTTAATCCTCGAACACGTTATCACATTCGTAACGTGTCGTATGCTGACTAGGATATTTTGTGACGTCACCAGATGCAGAGCTCAAGTTACTTGATCAGGCCTTATATACAGTGTTTCGTGTGTAATTGGACTCAATTAGCTGAACGCTCAATTATACAGCAGCATCTGGTACCACCTTCTGAAAACCAGCAGACAGCTGGCTCAGAGAATCGAAAATAGAAGGATTTTTTATGGATGAAAATCAAAGGGAAAACCTTGTAACCCTACATTTTCGATGACGCTGAACAAGATTAAACTGATAATAATTATCATACTCTCGTGTGAATTACTTTAAAACGTACTTGAATGTTGGCATGTTTCCAAATCGGTCACAAATGTTTCCACGATCTCAACTACTCTGAAACCAAAATGGAAACATTGCCCCAGAGCCCTTTCTTAACATGCTAGACCCACCAAACTTCTCAGGGACACTTCTGGTATCATTACCAATCGATCCCAATCGGTTTCAGCTCATTTCAGGCGATTCTAGGATAATGTTCATTTTTTGTTCATTTCGTTCATTCCATGAACCAGGGCAATATTTCGCACTTCTGAGTGGTTAGAAATGATAGTACACATGTCCCTCTACCATGCCAGATCGATTCCAAGTCAGTCCAGGCAGAATTACGGCTACAAGGGCATGTTTCCAAATCGGTCACAAATGTTTCCACGATCTCAACTACTCTGAAACCAAAATGGAAACATTGCCCCAGAGCCCTTTCTTAACATGCTATACCCACCAAACTTCTCAGGGACACTTCTGGTATCATTACCAATCGATCCCAATCGGTTTCAGCTCATTTCAGGCGATTCTAGGATAATGTTCATTTTTTGTTCATTTCGTTCATTCCATGAACCAGGGCAATATTTCACACTTCTGATTGTTTAGAAATGATAGTACACATGTCCCTCTACCATGCCAGATCGATTCCAAGTCAGTCCAGGCAGAATTACGGCTACAAGGGCATGTTTCCAAATCGGTCACAAATGTTTCCACGATCTCAACTACTCTGAAACCAAAATGGAAACATTGCCCCAGAGCCCTTTCGTAACATGCTAGACCCACCAAACTTCTCAGGGACACTTCTGGTATCATTACCAATCGATCCCAATCGGTTTCAGCTCATTTCAGGCGATTCTAGGATAATGTTCATTTTTTGTTCATTTCGTTCATTCCATGAACCAGGGCAATATTTCGCACTTCTGAGTGGTTAGAAATGATAGTACACATGTCCCTCTACCATGCCAGATCGATTCCAAGTCAGTCCAGGCAGAATTACGGCTACAAGGGCATGTTTCCAAATCGGTCACAAATGTTTCCACGATCTCAACTACTCTGAAACCAAAATGGAAACATTGCCCCAGAGCCCTTTCGTAACATGCTAGACCCACCAAACTTCTCAGGGACACTTCTGGTATCATTACCAATCGATCCCAATCGTTTTCAGCTCATTTCAGTCGATTCTAGGATAATGTTCATTTTTTGTTCATTTCGTTCATTCCATGAACCAGGGCAATATTTCGCACTTCTGAGTGGTTAGAAATGATAGTACACATGTCCCTCTACCATGCCAGATCGATTCCAAGTCAGCCCAGGCAGAATTACGGTTACAAGGGCATGTTTCCAAATCGGTCACAAATGTTTCCACGATCTCAATTCTCAACTACTCTGAAACCAAAATGGAAACATTGCCCCAGAGCCCTTTCGTAACATGCTAGACCCACCAAACTTCTCAGGGACACTTCTGGTATCATTACCAATCGATCCCAATCGGTTTCAGCTCATTTCAGGCGATTCTGAGACAATGTTCATTTTT